TAAACCTGCAGCTCAACAAGGTTTTTGGAGACATGCTCGCTTTCTACACATTCATCTTTCAGTCCAAGTTATGATGCAGGAATGTTCACCTTTCCCGGATTAAGTTTGGAGCTATGGTTTGGAGCGGTGAGGTACGAGGATGTGTGCACATACACACATAAGGAAAGAGAGAGCGCGAGTGTCACACACACACACACGGTCTCTCTGTACAACACTCAAACAGTGGCAAAGTTTTTTTTTTGTTTGTTTTTTTAAATGTCGTGATTTTGAACAGATGTAAACAATGGCAGGAGGCTTAAAAGTATAAACGTGATATAGATAGATAAAGCTAAATTTAATTATTGTACTAAATCCAGAACAGTTCAGTACGTACTTTAGACTGCTATTCCCCGCTCTGTGAAGTAACGTGAGGGAGGAAACTAGTTGACGTTAGCTAGTTAATTAGCCATGTTATCTGCCTCGGTAGCAAGCCAAATAGTATTTATTTCAACACTGAAACAAACGGCGGGTGGGTCTCTGTCTTGATCGGGGGTGAAAGAGGGAGAAATGAAGATGACACAGATATATAGTTTATGTTTGACCTGGAAGTATTTATTTAGCGATCGGCGATAAAACGTCATCTGTACGGAACATCATTGTGTACAATGGTACACAATGTGAACATTGTGAATATGGTTAGTCTACGTTACCCGAAAAATTCCCATAAGACAGACTTCGTCTTTTTTCGATGGAGGAAAAGGTTCCAGGGATTCATCTCCTTCGGTCATCCTACACACAAGTGACTCTGACCGCTAACACCAACCGGAGGAGGAGAGGTCGTGTGACTCGTTACGCTCTTCGCTGACACAACTGAGGGAGTCCTGCACTTTCCGACTTTGACGACACGTAAAAAAACTGCGCATACCGCAGGAACGGTATAACGGAAAATTTTAGTGGTTTTGAAACCGTGACTTTTCCAAACCGCAGTATACCTTGAAACCGGTTATCGTCCCATGCCTAGACCCAGGTGAATTATTTCTTGTGTGGGCACTAAGCAGCTTTTTGTCTCGTATATTTTGAAGCCGAAGCCCTTCAAATGACACACAAGCAGATCTCCACCTGCCACCATGACAGAGCACAGAGAAGGAGATTGTCCAAATAAGCTGACACTCTGAGACCCGCTATTCTCAGCAGTGTTAGAGCCGCTTCAACACATTTGCTGAATACCCTTGGAGCTAACGACAGCCCGGACGGAACGGTCAAAAATTCGAAGGCTGTGCCCTGATAGGCAAACCTGAGGAATTTTCTGTGTGCCGGGTAGATACTTATGTAAATGTAAGCATCCTTCAGATCTACTGATGTAAACCAGTCTCCAGAACGAATAACACTATAATGTTTTTTATTGTGAGCATTTTGAACTTGTACTTTCTGAGGTGCTTGTTGAGGTTCCACAAATCCAGAATGGGACAGAGCCAACACTCCCAACAAGAGAACTTACCCTGACGCTTCTTTGATAGAGGGGGGAACAAGACTCCTGTGCTGTGCAGAGGGGTGTAACAGAGATTCTGTGAGTGGTCTGTTTTCAAATCAAAAGAAGGGTTCCAGCACAGTTTAGGTCGCCAGCCTCTTCCCCCACCCCCGAGGGTTAGCTGGGCGATTCTTAGCCACTGCTGCCGCAAACGAGGCCTTGCCTCTGGGCTGGGGCTGTTTTGGATTAACCTCTGCCTGCATTGACTATTGACTGCTAAGGGGGTGGGGGGTGGACGAGCAGTAGGCTTCCTGGGAAGGCAAGTTTCAAAAGCTTCCCCATCCTTCTTGCGCAGGTCGCACTGCTGACACATATTTTTCACTGCAGCCCCAAAAAGTGTTTTTGGCTCCACTGGGGCATCGAGGAATGAATGCAAACACATCCTATATTTTCAGAAATAATATAAAATAAGAAAAATGCTAAATATTTCTTAGACAAAATGTAGACATTAAGTTTTAGAGTTTAAACATTAAAGGTGACATATGAAAATCTGACTTTTTCCGTGTTTAAAGGAACACTTCACTATTTTTGAAAATAGGCTCATTTTCCAACTCCCCTAGAGTTAAACAGTTGAGTTTTACCGTTTTCTAATTCATTCAGCCGATCTCTGGGTCTGGCGGTAGCACTTTTCGCTGTAGCTTAGCATAGATCATTGAATCTGATTAGACCGTTAACATCTCGCTCAAAAATGACCAAAGAGTTTCTATATTTTTCCTATTTAAAACTTGACTCTTCTGTAGTTACATCGTGTACTAAGACCGACGGAAAATGAAAAGTTGCGAAAAAGTTGCGAAAACTAGCCATATCGGCCTAGAAAATCACAACTTTTCTTTTTCCGTCGGTCTCTATCTAATATAGACATGCGATTTCTTTCCCAGCTGTTCACCTTCACAGTCATAACCGACTGTGTTTGTAACACATATGTGTTTCTAACAAACTTGCGTGTATTTGAGAGTTTAAGCGCAATAAGACATGAAAGAGAACTTATTTTAGTGCTCACATGCCATGTGACATCTGCTTTCTGTGCGCTCAGAAAACACTATATCAGAAGTTTAAACTGATATGGCTTTAAAACGCATAATTTCAACACGACAGACAGGATAATCAAAACCAAACAGATGTTTTGTTTTGGCAGAGTATCTGAGGCACAAGCTGTAAAGGCTCCGCTCTATTCTGGAAAACGGGGAAGGGAGCAGCAGCTCATTTGCATTTAAAGATGCAGGCACAAAAACAGCGTGTTTCTGCTTCCACTCAAGATAGGCATTTTCAAAATGATATAATAAATGATCTGTGGGGTATTTTGAGCTGAAACTTCACATACACATTATGGGCACACCTGAGACTTGTATTACATATTGTAAAAAGGGGCATAATAGGTGCCCTTTAGGTTTTAAAAAATTTGTGTTCACTCAAAAAGTCATGTTCATTCAAAATAAACAGAGCAATTCCAAGAGGGTTCTTGCACAATTGGTGCTCAGGCCCTAATGACTACAAGTATAACAGCAGTGGTAGGCTATTATTACTGGTAAATGTTTTGTAAAAACACAGAAAATAGCAGATTTCAGCCTGTCACCATCATGCAAACAAGAAATATCAAACAAACAGTAGTAGTTATTTACAGGTTTTTGCTTTTCCATTGTTTTTTTGTGTAAACATGCACTTTACCGATGTGTTTGACTGCTGCAAACCTGTTTGACAGGGTCTCGTGTATGAAACAGCATTCTAAAAACATGGTGCTCAAGTTCAACTCGCATCTCATAACCTTGTGTTTTTCCCATTTCTATTTTTCCCATTGTGCTTAGGATTTGCAATATGTTCTACATTACGGTCCTTCATAAAGCGTGTTACACATGAGCAGTTAATCGTAGTTAATAATTGTCAGTGTGTCTAATTGTAACATTTGATAATATTTTTATTCAAAACTGTGATTCCTCAATTTAAAAAAAAATAAAATCAAGACAAACATTACATTCAAATTAATCGATAAGATCTGAAACGCTTAAGATCTGAAAGATCTGATTTTTTTAAAAGCAAAGCCTCAAGTGTAATGTGCACTCTAGCATCATAGCAGGAAGTTTTGGATGCCACTTTATGTTTAGTTCTCAAGTATAGAGAGTCAGGGACTTCTGGGAGTCAACTGTTCAGCAATGTGTCGATAGCTATGCCATCGCTTGAACAATGGATGGTTTTCTAATAGCATTTAAAACGAATGGATGCAAATTCTTTCTAATTAAGTCTGTAAATCAGCACTAAAATGTAATTTCAAAGTTAATAAACTTGAATGAACAAACTGGTGCTATCCTTACCGTGTTTTGCGTTTACTGCTCTTGTCTTCATCGTCGTCTTCACTCACGGCCTCACTGAGCGCTGATGCATCACTGGAGCCCGAGCGCGACTGCTCGAAGTCAGAGTCTGCCGAATCATCGCTGCCCACTATACAAACACACATCAACAAATCCAGTAAACACTTCAGCTCATTCAGTGGAATCGCATGTGTGGCTTTTGTTTAGACTTGACACCGACCTTTCCGCCTGCTTCTCTTTTTGGTTTCTTTCTTTTTTTTAACTGGGGTCTCGTCATCAGAGTCTCCCTCGCTTAGAGTCAACTTCTTCCTCAACAAACGGTGCCTGCGTCCACCTTTCTTCACGTCCACATCTGAGCACGAGTCTGAAGTTTCATCCTCTTCCTCTGCAGGAAACATCAATGCATTATTCATGACAAGAACACTTCTGCATTAAACTGGATTAAATCTGAACTTAGGGCTGCATGCCATATAAAGTTTGTATGATATATCGATTTTTTTTTTAAATAAACGATATGGAATGAGGCAATACCGTTTATATCGATATACAGTAGTTTGACACAAGCGTAACTGAAAAATATCAGAGGACACAGAATGAGCTGTTGCGGGGAAAGTGCATAATCTAGTTTGTCCTAAACATGAGACATGCTTATATTCATTGCTTTAAAATAACTGGTAAGATACAGTTAACACGTATAGTTTAAAGTGGTTGCCCCGTCAGATGCTGACATACATGCTGCTGACAGAGACGCTACTTGCGCTGTTTAGTGCGTTTAAGATGTGCTGTTTTCCTCGGTGCATAACTTACATTTCACAGGTATATGCTCCAGCTGTAAATGTTAGCAAGTCATGGAAATATTTCCATTTTGCTGTCAGGAGTAGATGAGCCTTCTGCAAGTGATTCTCCGCTAAACTTCACAGACTTCAGCGAACAAGCGCCACCGCGCTCATGCATGCCAAACAGACGGAGCGCAATAATTCTGACTAAAATACATTTTGCTAAAATATTTGTAGTTAGACAATAAATGTGTCATGTAGAATTTTAAACCTACAAGTAAGAGTATTTTTTATGATAGCACTGTAAATTGACAAATGAGGTAATCAAAATAGCCTAATACAATTAGTTTGTGCCTTTCGTTTTTAATTTAGTGAATTTCTTTGTTTTTAGATCATAATGTTACAATATTATAATGTAATGTGATTTTCGCACATTACATTTAGCATAGTCTACATGTTTACATTCACTTTATTTATAGACATTGTTTTGTTGGACAACATTGGGTAGGATGTGAAAGAAGAGGAAGAATAAAAGAGATTTTTTTTCTTTAATCCAAATAGAAAAAAAGTAGAAATACAGAGATATATGCCACATATCGCAATTCAACGAAAAAAATGCAGAGATATGATTTGGCCATATCACCCAGTCCTATCTGAACTAGCTCTCACCACTTTCGTCTTGCTTCTTAGCACCATCTTTTCCTTTCTTTGGTGAATCCCCGTCCTCTTTGTCTGCGTTTTCATCATTAGATGAACTGTCAGCTCCAGAGGAATAGTTGGCTTTGATCTGCGCCAGAAGCATCCTCTTGGCAATTCTTTTAGAAGAGACAGAAACAAAATTAGGCCAGAAGCCCAGAATACATCATCTTGTTACTTAAACTTGTGACTGTCCACTCCGAGACATTTTCATGAAGGTAACTACTTTGATTATCAGAATCAGAAACAAGACTGGGGCAGGGAGAAGCTACGAGGTTGAGAGGATTTATGAGTTTTATGAGGTTCCACAGTTAGAGGATTCAATGGAGTTACAAGGTTTAGCTTTTTTAATATTATTCTTTGCTTAAATGTTTGTAAAACCCACAGACGGGGGACATCTTGAGATTAAACAGACATAAAAACAATTCACAGCATGCTACTTGTAAAATCAAACCTATTCTCTGGATCATCGTCATCATCCAGCACCTGGGAGGATTCAGCCTTCAATTCAATTTCATCACCTTCATAAACAAGAAGAAAAAAACAACACTTAAAAGTCATGAAATTCAATAAATGTTTTCCAAAAGGCTAGTTTATAGAACCCTGATGATGAACTTAATGACACTCTATCAGTGTTCAGGAGGTTTCCACCTAATAGTCACCTAAACGTCAGTCGACAAGAGACTCAATCGACCAAATTTTTAATTAGTCGGTTGCAGAAAAATAAAAAATAAAAACTCAACAGAATATAGAGAAGTCATGCAGTCTGTAACTGACACATCGTTAACACAGCTGCTATCTAGTTTTGTTTTAATATAATGAAGCCTAAATGTTACATCACAACCATGGAAACATCTGGATTCGTGTCAAAAGAGAGAGCTACACGAGTCTATATATGCAAGCCATATGTGGGATTTGTATTCTGTTTTGCGATCTGGTCACTCTATTTTTCAAAAGAAAAATTCCTCCACGAGTTATTCTACTGCACTTGGAATCGCTTCTTTCTTTTCTCAAATCTTCACTCACATCTCTCATTGTTGCACGGGATTAGAAACATTTCTTCCTTTCGTTCACTTTTAATTGCTATATTTGCATCCTTTGCACTAGTAAAGCAGAGAAACGCTGTAGGACAGATACCTTTTTACTCGCACGTCAAATTCTATTCAAAACAGTTTCTGCTTGTTAGACTTTGGTAAGGCATGTGAAGTTGTATCTTCTTGTATTTGCTCTTCTGACCTGAAAGCGCAGAGCGGTAAATATGATGTCACATTAAATTGATATCATAAATGAGCGAATAATTGACTAATGGCTTAAATGAATGACTAATAGTTGACTAGCACAATCTTTGCGTTCAGGGTATAAATACATTATATTCCACCTGTTAACTCACTCTTTTTTTTCTCAAGCTAGTCTACTCTATTTTACTTTTTTTTTTTTTTAGCTAAGCGACTACGTCTTTTATTCAAAAGCAGCTTAAATGCTCTCAAGCGTCCCATCAGTGTGTAGCAATGTGTACTGATGTCTCAGTTCAGACACTTGTGTATAGGTCTGTTTTCACATATAGTGTGTGAGCAGGGCATGAGCAGTTCGTTTTCATTTAAGCACCCTTTTAAACAGGAGAGCCACACGGTGTCGCACTCCAGAAGCGGCAGTGAGTACATAGTTTTGATGCTGTGTCTATTTTTGCCCACGGCTGATGCTGAAATCAGCTGGAGACTAAACATCAGGAGACTAGAAAAAAACACGAAAGCAGATCAAAAACATCTGAACTCTAAATGCAAACGCCTGCACGTTGGTGGTCTATGTAAATTATTTACCATTGTGATGCAAAATATTTATAAGTCACTTTGATTCATTTATTTATTATATATATATATATATATATATATATATATGTGTGTATGTATGTGTGTGTGTCACTTATACACCAGTGTAACATGCATTTTTTTTCCCAACAACAATGTGATTTTGACTGGTGCAAACCAGCGGAAAGGAGGTGCGACTTGTTTTCTGGAAAATATGTTACATACATATTTCATAATGATCAAGTTTGTATTAGTCCTCATTTACCCTCTCCAAAAAACATATTAGAATTTTTGTAATTTATTCAATAATTTGTAGAATTTGATACATTTTAGAATTTTAATGTGGTCCCCCTAGCACCGCCTTGTGACCCACCAGTTTGAAATATGCTAATTTTGGCAGGCTGTTAAAAAAAATTGCCAGACAGGAAATGTTGTTCAAGATCAAAGGCAGCATTTAATGGGGATAGTGGTTAATTTACAAGGCTCGAAAATAAGGACTAATTAAGCCCGGGGCCAGCGTGAAAGTCACTCGGGACAGTTGACTAATTTGTCACTGGTCCGATCGGGCCACTGCTGCATCCTCACGAAAGTGTATCATCAGAGAGACGCATCTCCAACAACGCAAGAGCCCAGAATAGTTTCTTTGCGCATCTTCTTGCACTTGAACAGACAAATACAGTCGTGGTCATAATTATTGGCACCCTTGGTAAATATGATCAAAGGCGGCTGTGAAAATAAATCTGCATTGTTAATCACTTTGATCTTTTATTTAAAAAATTCACATAAATCTAACCTTTCATTGGAGAATAAGAATTTAAAATCTAACCTTTCATTGAACTAAAACAATTGAAAATGGGGGAAAATCTCATTATGAAATAAATGTTTTTCTCAAATACACGTTGCACACAATTATTAGCACCCCTAGAAATTCTTATGAGTGAAATATCTGTGAAGTATATTCCCATTCATATTTACAATTTTGAGCATACCAGGGTGATTATGAACATGAAATTATCCAGCCACGGCTTCCTGTTTCACGGGAATATAAATAGGAGGGAAAACAAAGGCCAAATTGATAATTGAGCTTCACAAATTAGTGAAGTGGCTTTAAGAAAAGAGCTAGAGCAGTGAAAATCCCCATTTCCACCACCAGGGCAATAATGAAGAATTTCCAATCAATAGAAAATGTTACAAATCTGCCTGGAAGAGTACGTGTGTCTATAATATCGTCCTAATGCACGCTGAGCAGGAGAGTTTGAGTGGCTAAAGACTCTCCAAGGACCACAGCTGAAGAATTGCAGAAAATAGTTGAGTTTTAGGGTCAGAAAACCTTTGTGGGCCTATATTTCTGCTGGAGGTCCTGGACATCTTGTTTAGACACATGGCATCTTTGATTCTATCAAATATCAACAGATCAAAAATCAAAAAGTGACTGACTCTGTTAGAAATCTTATAATGGGCTACGTTTGGATCTTTCAACCTGACAATAATCCAAAAACAAACCTTAAAAACCACACAAAAATGGGTCACTGGGCACAAAACCAAGTGTCTGCTCTGGCCATTCCAGTTCCCTGAGCTGAACCCTAGAGAAGATGAGTGTGGTGAACTGAAGAGGAGAAGCTGGGAATCTGAAGGGTCTGGAGAGATTCTGGATGAAGGAATGGTCTCTGATCTCTTGTCAGGTGCTCTCTAACCTCATCAGGCATTATAGGAGAAAACTCAGAGCTGTTATTATGCCAAATGGAGGTTTCAAAAAGCATTGAATAAAAGGGTGCTGTTAATTGTGGCCAATGTGTGAGAAAAACATTTATGTCAATGATATTTCCCCCCATTTTAAATTCTTATTCTCCAATGAAAGGTTAGATTTATGTGAATTTTTTAAATCTAAGATCAAAATGATTAACAATGCAGATTTATTTTCACAGCCTTCTTTGATCATATTTACCAAGGGTGCCAATAATTCTGACCACGACTGTACATACAAAGGTATGTCAAAATACCCGTCTTGGCAAGTACCTTTGTAGCTTTAACAATGATTAACCTATATTTAATTTATACAGTGGAGTACAGATGCACCGGTCGACTGGCATTTTTTGTTTTATTTCAGACTATCTCCGTTCCGGATTTGCACACAAACTGCACAGCAAGCATTTTCCAAAATGTAATTTGTGTGGAAATATAACAAAGTGTGTAAACGGCTGTTAACAAGAGACGCTTAAAACTAACACAAAGAGGAGAAAATACTGTAACAGACAGAGCAAGATCACTGTACATGATGCGCGAAATATTGGAAGAAAATCCTGAATATCGAATTGGGGGTTTATAGGAGTTTATCTCTGCGGGGAACTGTTTTCAGTAAAGTTAACATGGCGTTTAATTTTAATCTTGTCTCTGTATAATGCATCTGAAGTAGGGCTGTGCGATTAATCGAAATCGCATTGAAATCGCGATTTGAGACGTTGCGATTTGCGCAATCGCAATATCTGTCAAAAAAAATCGCAATTTGATATTTTCCCCCAAATCGCACAGCCCTAATTTGAAGTAGTGTTAATGTAGCACTGCTTTGTTTACAGCGGTAACCAAGGAAACACTGTATCTGCTGTTCCATGAGCGCCACCTGCTGTCAGAGAGTGAATCTGCGTCTCATTCAGCCCATCTGCAGCTTTTCCTAAAGCATCCTATTTAATCATTTCTATCTTTGTTATTTAGATTCAGTTGTGCTATTGCTTGTAATTTGTTCATTTGTTCTCATTTACGCACTGTTCACTTGTCTTTAATAATGTTTAAACTTTAGGCTATATTTGTTAGGCTTGTAGTTTTTGCTGTAGTATCAAAATTAGAATTGAGAATTGTAAAATTTAACTGGTATCTAAAATGTTGGCGTCATATAAGCTTATTAGAATAAAAGATAACATGGGTCAAAAACAATGATAACAGCAACTTTTTTTTTTTTTTAGGCAGGGCCCGTTGAGCCCTGATTTAGTACTTTTTTCTACCATTTTCTTTTCCCCAATTTGAAATCAATGAGCAATATGCAGCTAATACTTCTGCCATACAATGTAGATTAATTGAACCATTTTGTCAACTGACCTGATGACTGATGGAAACCATCAATACTAGCCATCACAGACTCAAGTATTGGTTTAATCTTCTGCTGATCGCTGTCTTCCTCGGAGTTAGCAGCCTGCTCCTCCTCCTCCTGCTCTTCATCACTGGAGGAAAACTCTTCCTTGGTTTTAGGCTTTTCTTTCTGTGACCTTCGTTTCCTCTCAAATGACATTTTAGGGCCTTTCTTGCCATCTTTACTGGATTCATTCTCTTCCTTTTTGACACCTTTGGATGTTTTTTTCCCACTGCCGACCTTGGACAGGCTTTTCATCTGTTTCTCAAGATCAGAGTTGTGGTCTGAGGAGTCCGATTCTCTGCCCTTCTTTTTTTTGGTGCTCCTTTTCTTTGCTGTTGATGACCGTTCTGAATCTGAGGAGGCCATATCGAGTTTACGCTTTGGCTTCGCTTTTGCTTTCTCAGCAGAGCAGGAAGCTAACTTCTTCTTCTTGGTACCTTTTCCAGAAGCGTTCTCGGGTTCGCTCTCATCAGAGCTGGCCTTCAAGGCAGCCGTCTGCAGGACCTCAGGGACTTCATCTGAGTCTGAATCACACTGCTCCTTGACTGCGTCGCTGCACTCTTCTTTAGCCATTGACGACCTTGGTTTGCGTTTGCTCTTCACCTCCGGTGACTTGCGTAGGGGTGTGGTCTTCATCCTGGGGGAGCGTCTGCTATCTTGAGCCTCCTTTGGCAATGTGTCACAATCCATGTCTTCTGAAGGCGACTGTTCTTTGCTCTTATCTCGTTTTATGGTAATTTTAAGAGGAACAGGTGTTAGTTTGACAACAAGTTTTCTACCCAGTTTTGTCAGGCTCTTATTGGATTCCACAACCTCAGCGTTGGACGTTGATTTCCAATCACTGGAACCAGTCGAGTTGCTCTTATTGGATTCCACAACCTCAGCGATGGACGTTGATTTCCAATCACTGGAACCAGTCGAGTTGCTATCGTCACGGTCTTCTTTCTTTACTGCAAGACTCTCGACCATCTCAAAGAGCTCCTCTGGGACAGACGGTGGAATAGACACGATGTCTTTATCAAGAGACGCTTCACCTGCTGGCACGGAGTTTTCCTCAAAGTCAGGGTTATCTGCCATTTCATGCTCTTTAGCTTCACTTTCTTCAGACTGGTCCCGAGTTTTTTCTGGAGAGGGTGGAAGGCTCTCCTTCATTTCAACATCAGCTGAGCTACTTTCCTGTTGGGTTTCATCTTGGTCCTTGGCGGTGCAATCCAAACCATCTTCTCTGACAGGAGCAGGGTCAGCGTGGTACGAGTTAACACTGGTATGATCTGCAGTTTGACTGTGTCTTTGCTCCTCTCCGTTTTGAAACTTGAGGCCTTTCGATTCAAATTCTTTTTCAAGTGATTCCTCCAGAGCCACGTGGGCCTTTTTCAGATCAGCCAAAACCGATTTGAAGGCGTTTAAGTGTCTATTACTTACCGCACTAACTTCACGGCCTTTTGACGTGTGCTGGAGGAATTGTACAAAAGTACGATTCAAACTGTTTGTGGTCTCGATTAGTTTTTTGGTCTTCTTGACAAGCTCTTTCGGAACCGTCAACGTCTTACAGGAAAAGGATAACGTCCCCGCTCCGTCGGAGGCATAATCCTGTCCATTTACAGCAGTTTTTTCTCGTTTGCTATGCTTGTGTTTACGATCTTCACGCTTCGTCTTGTCACCGTCTCCCTTGGGCTTTCTGCAAGATGATTCCAGATTGAGCAAAACTTTCTCACAGGTTTTAACAAAGTCTTGCAGTGGCTCTGGGCGGCACACAAAGCAGTGCCATTTGCTTTCTTCATTCATGATTTCAGACAGTTCTTTTCGTCCAAGGTTCCTCAAAATGCATTTTTTGCAGAAGGCATTGCTGCAGTAGTCACAGCAAATCAGATTACCACCCTCTGCACACCACCTGAAAGAGAAAAAACATCCCATCATTAAATTCATTTGGGTAAAAATGGAATTGTGTTGTCCAAGGACTTAAAAAAACTAGCAGGAATTTCAAGCTAATAGATAATATATAATAATACTATTTCACAGAAGAAAAAAAAATTTACAAAAAGAGCAAAATTACAAAAAGTACAGACACTAAAGTCATGACAGCAGTGTTTGAGTAAGTGCAGTGAACACAGCCATTTCATTGTTTGTTTTTTTGTGTGTCAAATTTCTGATTGTTAACTTGATACTAGTTATAAACCTGAAAACATTATATACCTAATCTTTATCTTTGTTCTGCTGTTTTTATTTGTTTGATTACTTGCAATATATTTCTTTATTATATTACTGACTGTTTACTTGAACACTTGCATGAAAACTTTAAGCAATGATATTTTTTTGGTGATGGAATTGACTGCTCTTTTTCAACATTTGGGATAAATAGTATTAGTAGCCATAAAAAAAAAAAATTGTAATATGACAATGGCTACAGCCCAAACAAAGACTTCTGACCAGTGTTCAAAACATGGAGAGAATTACTTTTTCATCAAATACAGGGATGGAAAAATATTTGCAATACTGGGAAAAAAAATGGAACTTCATGTGTATTGACCACTGTGTGATTATCAGTATAACTTATGTATGGATGCTTAGGTGACCAAATGATTGTTCAATTTGTATTTGTTTGGTTTTTAATAGCCACATATTTTTATCGCTACATCCCTAGTTGGTATCATCACAGCTGTAGTGTTATAAATAAATAAATGTTCTGCACCAACCTGCATTGCTCATCCATTCCTTCTTCATCCTTGCTGATATCGTCACTCATATAATATCTGAAACATGACTGTAAGAAAAAGGCATGCATGTTAATGACCGAGATACAAGCACGTAATTGGCTGTAACAAGTTACTCTGGTTTCTACCTTGCAGATAAGAACATGTAGTGCAGGATGCTGAAAGATCGAATCCTTCTGAAAATGATTGACTTGCTGTCCACATGCTGTGCAATTAAAAATCTCCTGGAGCTGCTCGTCTGTGAGAGATTAAAATATAAATGAAGATAATAAAACAATCATACTGCAACGCTAAGACTCTTTTAATATTTGAGCAGTTTCAGCCTCTACACTTGAAACACCCAGTTTACTTCATGAGCACTCGACTGACAGTGCTGGGTAGATTACTTACAAATTGTAGTCTGTTACTGATTCCAAATTACACGACAAAAATTATAGTTAGTAACGTAATCCATTACATTGCACATTTCAGGTAATATAATCAGACTGATTTTGATTACTTTTGACCTAACTGGTTTATCACATTGATTTAAATAGTATAATCTTATACAATATTGACATAGAAAAAAACTAAGAGAAAGAAAGTATATTCCATTCGTTGTTATTAACAACATGAAGTGCATTAACCCTTTAACGTGCATTGTAACAGCACGGTCAACCTTTTTTCGTGATCAAATTACTGTAATTAAAACTTGCCAAACCCCATTTTTGGCTGTTTGTAAATTGCCTACCGTAAATATATCAAAACTTCATTTTTGATTAGTAATATGCATTGCTAAGAACTTCATCTGGACAACTTTAAAGGCGATTTTCTCAATATTTTGATTTTTTTTGCTCCCTCAGATTCCAGATTTTCAAATAGTTGTATCTCGGCCAAATATTGTCCTATCCTAACAACCATACATCAATGGAAAGCTTATTTATTCAGCTTTCAGGTTTTCAATTTCAAGAAATTGACCCTTATTGGTTTTGTCGTCCAGGGTCACAAATTACGTCAAAGTTTCCCAAACTGGGGTTCATGAAGGAAATGCAGGGGAAATGTATTAATTAATTAAATTCTAAAAATGTTAAATTAAAATAAATCTTTTTAAAATTACAACAATCAAAATAAAACGATAAATAAATAAGTAACTGTAGTCTGATTATGAATATTTTAAATTGTAATATAATCTAATTTCTAGTACATAATTTTTGGAACCTGATTACGTAATCCAGATCACATGTTACCCAGCTCTGTCGACTGATGATCAGGTCAGTGTAATCAGGTCTGTTAGACTAGACGTGCCTTTTGGACATATGTCAGGACAGTTTTTGTCTAAAACCGTGATAAAAACAGTATTTGACCTGCCCACTTACATCTATTAAATCTCAGTGGGAGGAGAACACAGAAAAAAATATTCCAGATGAACAGTGGGAAGAAATCCTACGCCGAGTGCACTCTTTATCCTTTTGTGCCAGACATGGTCTGATTCAGTGTAAAATTCTTCACCGCACTCTCTGGACCAAAGTTAGACTTTCAAAAATATATATCCCACATGTGGCTGTTGTCATCAGGCCCATGCAACTACTGCGCACATGTTTTGGTCCTGTCCATCTCTACAGAAATATTGGTCCCAGATCTTTAAAACATTATCTGAAGTTCTTAAACATCAAATAAGCCTCTGGCTTTCACAGCTTTATTTGGTACCCTCCCCCCGTCTCTTGCTATGCCCAAATATCAGTCTGATTTTGTAGCCTTTGTCACACTTTTGGCAAGATGTTTAACTGGAAATTGCCTGTACCTCCTACTTATTCTTTATGGATTAAATATATTTTCCGTTTAATTAAACTAGAATAAAATCAGACACACAATGATGGGATCTTCTGATAATTTCTATTAAATTTGGGGACCCTTCCCAGATTGTGTAGGAAATTGAAAGACCCTCAATCACCCAAGTATACATCTCCTTCCCTCCTCCAGTATATAGACTAGTGTTATACTTTAGGGATACGTCGGCTGTGTTTAGAAGCTTTAGCATCTTTTTGCACCTATGATTTTAATTTGTGTAGGTGTTTTTTTTTTTATTATTATTATTTACGGTTGTTGTTTTGTTGTATATCATAGGTACCAATATTGATCATTTATGTTCTCCTCCCTTTTTATTCTTACATTATGTGAAATGCTTTCTAAGCTCTTTATCTTTCTTCACTATACACTTTGTTGTGTTGCTATTTGTCAAATGAACCCTTTTATTAACTAGAGATATACATGGAGGTCATACAAGTATATGTACACTACCGCTCAAAAGTTTGGGAACAGTAAGACTTGTAATGTTTTCTAAAGAAGTCTCTTCTGCTCATCAAGGCTGCATTTATTTGATCAAAAATACAGAAAAAAACGTAATCTTGCAAAATGTTATTACAATATAAAATAATGGTTTCTATTTTAATATACTTTAAAATATAATTTATTTGTGATCAAAGCTGAATTTCTATCAACTATTACTCCAGTATAAAGTGTCACATGATCCTTCAGAAATCATTCTAATATGCTGATTCTATTTTAAATAAATGCTCTTCTTTTTAACTTTTTATTCATCAAAGAATCCTGAAAAAATATCACTGGCTCCAAAAAAATATTAAGCAGCACAACAGTTTCCAACATTGATAATAAATAGGGATGCACCGATACCACTTTTTCCAGTACTCGCCCGATACCGATACTTTTATTTTTGGTACTTGCCGATACCGAGTACCAATACCGATATTTTTATTGCATTTGTACATTTTTTAAATATTGGGTACAGAAACCAAAAGGGTATGTATAATGTTAGTTGGTTAACTTCATTTATCAAATAGATAAAGTCAAACCAAAATTTATTCAGACACCTTCAACATTTCTCACATTATCACAGTTTATTCGCTATAGTTTAGAAAATGGTAATAAAATATGACAAGAACTCAGAGGTAAACTGTGTCAGAACAAATTCAGCTTGATAATGTTAGATAACTTTGATAGAAAGGTATGTAATGGATTACAATCAACCAAA